AAGTATTCTGTATGACACTGCAAAGCTAAATGGATTATGCATTTGGCAAATCCACAGAAGGGACATGCTAAGAATGAACCTTAGGCCAGGCCTGGTGGCTCACGCCTGTAATCTTAGCTACTCATCAGGCTGAGATCTGAGGATCATAGTTAAAAGTCAGCCCAGGCAGTGAGTCCTTGACTCATCTCCAATAACCACCAGAAAACGGGAAGTGGTGCTGTGGCTGAAGTGGTGTGGTCAAGTTGCCTTGAGCAAAAGAGCTTAGGGATAGCACCCAGGCTAACACCTCTCTGCCCCAAGAATGAACCTTAGGGTAAATCACAGGCTAATTAACAATGTATCAATACTGACTCACTCACTGACAGCAACAAATGAAAAACAGCAAAGCAAATATCAACAGTAGGGGAAGGCAGAAGGAAGGAAAGTATGTGGGAGCCTGTTGGACTATCCAGTGTTCCAGCATGAGGAATAAGCTGTTCTAAAAACAAGAGCCTTTAATGTTTCAAAAAAAACAACATATAAATGAACTAACTCATCATAGGAAGAGAGCAAAATAAATAAAACAGAGTGAAGCCAGGCGCCGGTTGCTCATGCCTGTAATCTTAACTACTCAGGAGGCTGAGGATCTGAGGACTGAGGTTCAAAGACAGCCCGGAGAGGAAAGTCCATGAGACTCATATCTCCAATAAACCACTAGAAAACCAGAAGTGGCGCTGTGGCTCAAGCGTAGAGTGCTCGCCTTGAGCTTAAGAGCTGAGGGACAGCGCTCAGGTCCAGAGTTCAAGCCCCACAACCTACAACAACAACAAAAAAGAGTGAAGAGGGGCTGAGAAGGTGGCTCAGTGGTAGAGCGCTTGCCTAGCATGCATGGAATCCTGGGTTTGATTCCTCAGTACCACATACACAGAAAAAGCCAGAAGAGGCACTATGGCTCAAGTGGTAGAGCACTAGCCTTGAGCCAAAGAAGCTCAGAGACAGTGTCTAGGCCCTGAGTTCAAGCCCCAGGCCTTGTAAAAAAAAAAATAAAAAAACAGAGTGAAGACAAGGAGACTAGGGTCTGGGCCATGGGTTCCAGGAGTGAACACAGAGCAGAATAACATGTGTTACTATGCATCTGTGAGACAGCTGGGGGAGGAGAGATGTAGACTCCGTAAGGAATGATATCACAGAACTAAAAAAGCTAAGAGCCCTGAGCCACTTAATGGTATTGCCTGGAGGTGCAGAAACACCCTTCTGTTAGTGTCCTGAGGCTTTCAAGCAGCCCAGACATGGCTCCCCCAGAGAGATAACCAGCAAATGTGGCAGGGCGCCTGCCAGCCCCAGGTGGAAGTGTAAAGATTTTTACTCTGCTGGCTTCTATCTTCTGGATCCTCAGTAAGAACCAAGAGAAGGCATGTATATTCATACCAAGAATGACAAATGGAACCTCTCTAACAGACACCCCAGGCACTGACAGGGTAATAAGGGGTTACGAACAGCATCAAGCGCCAACAAATTCCCACGTGTGAAAGCTCAGTTGGAATGGCTCTTTCTTTAACCATGAAAGAATCTAGATCAGTAGTCAAAGACCTCTTGACAAAGAAACAGACAGCCCAGACAGCCTCATTTGTAAGTTCCACCAGCAGTCACACAATGAATACTTCAAATTTTACAAAAACTACTCCAGTGTATGTGACAAGAAGACACATTGCCCATTTATTTTCTAAGGCCACTGAATATTGATCGTTCAAGTCAGGCAAAGACAGGGGCGGGGGGGCCTTCCCAGGCAAATCTCACTTGTGAACACAGATGGGAAACACTAAACACAGATGTAAAGTCCACAAGCTGAGTTAAATCATGTATGAACATAATTCATAATGACAAGCTGGCTATCCTTAGAATGGAAGGTGGATACACTATTAGTCACATAACACCACTCAACACATACAAAAAGCCTCCCATCAGTGCTTCCGTTTCCTGGAGGTGTGAGCAAGCCAGCCAGCGTGGAAAAAACCAGAGCAATAAATAAAAAGAGCTAACTGGGAAGGAAGAAATAAAACTGTCACTGTTTGCAGATGACATCACAGTCTATTAGGAGAAAAACAAGAAATATACTGACAAATTATTACGATCAATAAGGCATATGCTTCAGTGCTGTCACAGAGACCAGAGGGCCTAGTTACCATCATATAGAACAAAGAGAAAGCTGGCTTCTGAAAACGTGGACCATCGAGCTGATGCTGACACGGACAGACAGGTCCCAAACGCACCCACAGAGCAGCATAGACAGACTGAGCTCAAAACTGATCTACTGGCAGTGGAATAGTAAATGCCCACTTGCAAAAGTAAACTTGGACCCCATCTCACATTAGATACAATAAATCACTTCCAAGTAGATGAAAGCCTTTTAGGGGAACACGTAGCATACAGACTTACTAAGATACAGTCCACTCCATGAAGTAGAAGTGACTACCTCAAAATGAACTCCTGTCCATCAGGAGCACCATGAAAAGTCCATCCCAATTCATAAGAATGATGAAGAGTCAATGTCTGGAATACACAGAATTCTCTCAAGTAAGCAAGAAAAAGATAGGGTTGGGAGGGGAGGAGTAAGGATAGGAGCCAGCACACATTTCAGAAGAGGAAGGCTACACAGCAGCACTTAAGTCAAGTGCTCACCAATAAACAGGTTTTGGAGAAATCCAAGCTGCATCCCAATCTTCTAGTTCTACACCCATCCCACTGGTACAACCAGTGTTGGTCAGGAAGGTGGGAGCCAAGCACCGGCACTGTTAAACAGGACACAGTTGAGGCCCACTTTACATCTGAACACAGAAGACCTAGAATGGCAGGAAGACATCCTGGCTACACACGAAAAGCATCCATCTTCAGAACAGAAGGCTGAGCCAGAGAAGCAAACGCGCAAAAGCAAAACAGAGCAACAGTCTCTGTCCACACAAGAGCACCCCAGCTTCTATGCCGGCTTCCACAGGAGGTTTCCACTCACTAATAGGAAACAACGTGACCCTGCTGTCTGTGCACCCAGGACAGCCCCAATCCACCATCAGGAACACCCAGACCAGTCGGTGTCTGCACCCACGAGATGGTTCTCATCTGCCAACAGGAGGCACTGGACCAGTGTGTATACCCACGGGATGACCCTCATGTCTTCACCTGCAGGACGGTCCCACAGCACCAACAGCAAACACCTTGACCTAAAGGATGCCATTACACCAACCTGACTCCTATGTCTACACCCACACAGTGGTCCATTCCCTAATAGTACATACCCCAAACCTCGCTGTCTGTATGCACAGGATGGAACCCACCCCACTAACAGCAAACACCCTGACCAGTGTCCATATCTACAGAACAATCTCAACCCAACCCACCATCAGGAAATATCCTGACCCCAGTATCTGCACTCTCAAGAGGATTCCCATTATACCAACAGGAAACACCCAGACCACTGTCTACTTCCCAGGGGGAGGGGGGGTGGGTATACCAACAGGAAACATCCCAACTTCCATTTCTAGAACTATCTGACGGTTTTAATCCATGAGCATTAATCTGTGTCCACTGATCCAGACAGGCACGGGGTCTAGTAACAGGAAGCTCAACAATTCCTGCACCAGTCTTCCAAGAGGGAGGGAGGGTGAATATACAGGAACTCAGAAGTCTCTGAGAAGTATACTGGCAGACTCCTGGTGGTTTATTTGTTTTTGCTGGTCCTGGGGCTTGAACACAAGGCCTAGGTGCTGTCCCTGAGCCTCTCTGTCTTCAAGACTAGAGCTCTACCACTTGAGCCACAGCACCACTACCAGCTTTTTCTCAGTAGTTTATTTTTTTTAATTTTTTTTATTTTTGAGTCCGGTTGTGGGGCCTGAACTCTGGGCTTGGGCACTGTCCCTCAGCTCTTCAGCTCAAGGCTAGCGCTCTACCACTTGAGCCACAGCGCCACTTCCGGCTTTCTTCTTTTTGCTTATGTGGTGCTGAGGAATTGAACCCAGGGCCTCATGCATGCAAGGCAAGCGCTCTACCACTGAGCCACCTTCCCAGCCCCTTTCTGAGTAGTTTATTGGAAATAAGTCTCACAGATTTTCCTGCTCGGACTGGCTTTGAACCATGATCCTCAGATGTCAGCCTCCTGAGTAGCTAGGATTACAGATGTGAGCCATCAATGCCCGGCTGCCTGATGGTTTATTTTTTTTTAATGCCATATTTCTTTAAATTCAATCTATCTCAATTATGGTTCTGGACGTACTCAATGTATAATAAAACAAGGCTGGTACCAAGACATTGAGAAAGGGAGATGCGTATCAGCCCTGCAGGAGGGGCTGAGTCAGAGCCCTCAGGCTCCCTGCTGGCTGCACCCTCCAGAACAGGTCCGGGAACTCTCCTCTAGGTCTCTTAGTTGTCTTACCAGCCAATCCTGTAGTATATCCTGTGCCAAGCACCAGCAGGTAAACAGGACAACGCAAGGCACAAGGCACCCAGTAGAACACTGAGCCTCACTCCTCTTTGAGTCCTCTACCATGAGGAATCAGGTTCAACTGTCTTGGTGCTAAATACAAAGTGGGGCAGCAAAGCTCCAGCTTGTAAATCGCGTGCCACATTCCAAGCTGCCTATCAAGACCAGGCTGCCACTTGGCCCAGGATGGCTAAACAAATGACTGATTTGCACAAGAAGATGCTAATAAAACCAAGACCTCTGGTCAATGTTCAAACTAGAAAACCAGACTCCCTTGTACCGAGGTCACATCCACAGGTATATCATATACAGCGCGTGTCACCGCGCATGTCATACACAGGACACGTCACTGCACACGTGTATTAGACTCCAACACAAACCGGTCCCCTGCCCTGTCCTTCCAAGTTACTGTCTGTCAGTGCAGTGCAGCTGACTGCCCTTGGACGCGGGAGGATAAAGCACTCATGCTTGGTAGCGGCTGTGAGCACGCCGGGCCGTGGCCAGTACCCTAACTGACCCAGCTTCAGAGGGATATGGAGGGCAGACCCACCTTGTTGAAGACCCAAACCTCGCCGTTCACCGTGGGCCTGGGCACGCCGTGGCCATTGTAGTGGAAGAGGACCCGCTCCTCCTTGGCATTCCGGCGCAGCGATGTGCACAGCTTCTTGACTTCATCCACAGTGGGGTCGAGGCTCTGCTTGTACCGGGCCTGCAGCAGAGGAAGACACTTGTCACAAGCCTCTTCCTACACTCTTAGGTCCCCAGGGAGCACAAAGGCCCCAGCTCTGCACCACAGGGCAGCAGCAAGAGGCCACTCGCTCATTCGCTCACTCAGCACTCTGACACTGAGAACAACCAAGGACATAAATAAACAGAGCTGCCATGTGGAGCACCGGCCCAGCCAGACGCAGCAGCTGCTCTGATGTCCAGTGCTTCTCAGAAGCAGGGAGAAAAAGAGTTGTGTCAGAAGCAGGGGATACAAAGCAGAGATGAGTTACTCAGATGAGGCCTGCAGTGGACACAGCAGTACTAGCAGAGTAACAAGGCTGAAAGGGAAGCAAAGTGCTCCTTGCATAGCCCTCGGCACCAGCTCAAAGCCCTGCCCCCGCCTGCCCCTGCCTGGCCCCCTAGGCCTACCTTGGAATGCACAGGCCCTGAAATTAACATGAAAAGACCAGGAATAATGATATACGCAAACAATAAACAAAGGTCTGTCAAAAAAAAACCTCCCTAATAAAGCAACAAAGAAGATTAAATAACTGGGCCTGGAAAGATGGTTCAGTGGTAGAGTGTTTGCCTTGTATGCACAAGGCCCTGGGTTCAATTCCTGAGCACCACATAAACAGAAAAGGCTGGCAGTGGCACTGTGGCTCAAGCAGTAGCGTGCTAGCCTTGAGCTGAAGAGCTGAGGGACAGCGCCCAGGCCCAGAGTTCAAGCCCCACAACTGACAAAAAAAAAAAAAAAAAGATTAAATAACCTAAGAATGAGCTTAAGAACTGTTTGAGTTGTCCATACACCCAGGGACAATGGCTGATGGGAGACAGCGAACACAGCCCCTGCCGCGGGAGGTCATGCTCCAGCTCTCCCTGGGCCACGCCCATGTTCAATGCAGTCCCAGGAAACAGATATCTCAACAATCTAGCTTACAGACAAACTGCTACTGAAATGCATGTGGAGAGAGGGGAAAGATATAAGAAAAGCCAAGAAAACACAAACCAGAAAATGCCTGTGTGTGAAGGATCTCCCGGGCATCCCAAAAGCCAACAAAAATGGTGAGGGGGTCAGGTGACCACAAAGCAAGGCGTGGTCCTCAAAGCTCAGAGAGGCAGCCAATCAAGCCACAAGTGGCACTAATACAGTCACTATGGCTTGAAAGTTGACTTTATTCAAGCTCATATTAACTAGAAAATAATAGGTGTTAGATATAATTTATTTATTGGCTCATTTTCAAAACGAGGTATTTGACTCCGAGTAGAAAACCAGCAGGTTGTTTCCACCACCACCTGTGGACATGACAAAAGTTCATGCATTGGAACACTCATCAACAAGATCAATTAGCAGGGATGTAGGCTGATTAGCAGAGGGAAAACAGAAAATAAGTAGAAAGTGTGTACGTGGCCAGAAAGCCTTCCCACCACAGAAAAAGAGAGAGTAAAGACCACCAGCCCACCTCTAAAGTTCAGTTAATCTCAAGAGGGGCATGTATTCAAGTTATCCAGGAGAAAGTAATGTAACTTGGATGGCATCTGGAGAGAAGATGAGCCCCACAGGACTCAGGACAATGAAGCGTTGGGAGAGGAGCCTCACCCTCAGGTAGACATTGCCATTGTAATCCAGATAGCAGGACAGCCCTCACACAGACGCCCCGTCTTGTGAGACCGCCACTGAACTCTCACTTTTATAGCACTTTTTGTCTCTGAGTCCAGCCTTGGAGGTACAAGGGTCTCTCTACTTCACATTCATTTCTCATTGGTGAGTTACTTTGAATGGTAAATGCCCAGGAAGGAACTGAAAGAGCAAATCTATACACTCCCTGGGGCGAGTTGAGGTGGCAAGTGTGAAACCAGTGTGCCACACCAGGAGGCGAGCAAGCATCCCAGCCTCACCACCACCCGCCACAGCGGGAGAGCCCCAGCCTAACCACCACCCTGCCACAGCGGGAGAGCCCCAGCCTAACCAACACCCACCACAGCGGGAGAGCCCCAGCCTAACCACCACCCTGCCACAGCGGGAGAGCCCCAGCCTAACCACCCCGCCACAGCGGGAGAGCCCCAGCCTAACCAACACCCACCACAGCGGGAGAACCCCAGCCTAACCACCACCCTGCCACAGCGGGAGAACCCCAGCCTAACCACCACCCTGCCACAGCGGGAGAGCCCCAGCCTAACCACCACCCTGCCACAGCGGGAGAGCCCCAGCCTAACCACCCCGCCACAGCGGGAGAGCCCCAGCCTAACCACCACCCCACCACAGCGGGAGAGCCCCAGCCTAACCACCACCCTGCCACAGCGGGAGAGCCCCAGCCTAACCACCCCGCCACAGCGGGAGAGTCCCAGCCTAACCACCACCCTGCCACAGCGGGAGAGCCCCAGCCTAACCACCCTGCCACAGTGGGAGAGCCCCAGCCTAACCACCACCCTGCCACAGCGGGAGAGCCCCAGCCTAACCACCACCCTGCCACAGCGGGAGAGCCCCAGCCTAACCAACACCCCACCACAGCGGGAGAGCCCCAGCCTAACCACCCTGCCACAGCGGGAGAGCCCCAGCCTAACCAACACCCCACCACAGCGGGAGAGCCCCAGCCTAACCACCACCCTGCCACAGCGGGAGAGCCCCAGCCTAACCACCCTGCCACAGCGGGAGAGCCCCAGCCTAACCAACACCCCGCCACAGCGGGAGAGCCCCAGCCTAACCACCATGCCACAGTGGGAGAGCCCCAGCCTAACCAACACTCTGCCACAGCGGGAGAACCCCAGCCTAACCAACACCCCGCCACAGCAGGAGAGCCCCAGCCTAACCACCACCCTGCCACAGCAGGAGAGCCCCAGCCTAACCAACACCCTGCCACAGCGGGAGAGCCCCAGCCTAACCAACACCCTGCCACAGCGGGAGAGCCCCAGCCTAACCAACACCCTGCCACAGCGGGAGAGCCCCAGCCTAACCACCACCCTGCCACAGCGGGAGAGCCCCAGCCTAACCACCCTGCCACAGTGGGAGAGCCCCAGCCTAACCACCCTGCCACAGCGGGAGAGCCCCAGCCTAACCAACACTCTGCCACAGCAGGAGAGCCCCAGCCTAACCACCACCCCGCCACAGCAGGAGAGCCTCAAAGAAATCGTAGAACCTACAGAAAACAACAGAACAAAGTGTTAGCTCTGGTTCCCAACTCCTCAAAGGCTGAGGCAAGAGGACCCTGTCCAGCAAGAAGTGCACGCGTCACCTGCTATGTAACTGTGACTCCTCTGTGCATCACCTCAATGATAACATTTGTTTTTAAGTTTAAAAAAAAAGAGGAGAGCAGCCATGAGGCCAGCCTGGACTACACAGCAAGGCAGGGCAAGTTCTTGTCTCTAGGTAAGTAAAATAATAAAATGCAGCCCATGGCAATACGGCTTAAACAGGATGCAGTGAACATGAGGAACGTGAACAGGGAAGACAATTACAAGTGAAGAACCAGGCCATGTCCAAGCATGGCTGTCTGTGTACATGTGAGAGAGAGAAAAAGAGCGCAAGGAAAACAATAGGAAGTAGCCGACCTCTGCTCTTCTGAGTTAGCTCTTCTGTACTGATATCCCTGTTTAGCTTCATCTTAACTCCATAAGTCCAAACTACAGCTGGTGAAACTGAAAAATTCTTTTTCCAGTTTCCTATATCTTTTATCTGTATAAACAAAATCTACTGGAACCAGAAACTAGTTTCCCAACGACAGCGCTACTGAACAGCAAAACAATTTGGGGGCCCGCCTGAGGTGGCAGGACCAGGCTGGCAAAGTCTGGAAGCTTCTTTCCTCCCTCAGGAGCAGAATGCTATTGGTAAAAGCTGTCTTGAGGAGACGGAGAGAAAACCCTTTGTGCATAATGTAAGTTTTCAAATTCAAAATCGATCTCTCAGGCAGCGCAGTATGTGACCCACTGTGAAGGCTGGCCCTCCAGTTCCCAGAGTCGGGAAGCGCTCAGGGACACAGAGAAGGCGAGGACCGGGTGCTGAGGTGGGCCTGGGGAGGCGGCCATCGCTGTCCACACCTCACCTGTGTTCTGAGAGTCTGCTCCAGGCCCAGCTCTCCAGCAAAACAAAACCCCCTCCTGAGCGCCTCTGGTGGGAAACAGTGTTTTCTTTCTCCAGACTGGCTCACTCAGCCCATGGTGCACCCGTGTTCTGCTGAGCTCTGCAGGGCAGTCGCTGCTTATGTTTGGGGGACGTGCCCTTCGGTACAGAGCATATTTCTGTGTGTTTTTGAACAGCTTTACAACATACTCACTGGCAACTAGCTGGTGAGTGACAATCAGATCGTCAGTGACATTAATTATAATAATTAGTAAAGGAGCAAATCAAAATGATGGCATCCTATCTGACATCAAAGCGGCACAAGTACTGGAGAGTGATGTGGGAAGCAGTGGCACCTGGGTGCAGCCACGCGGCTGGCAGACACTCTACAGATAAGACAGAGCACACTATCCCCACCCAAGGAAGAGAGTACTTCTTCAGATGTCATGACTGGCTAACGTATCCACCCAAATAAGTGCGTTCTGAAACAAGAAAGAGGCTGGAAGTAGCGAAGGTGAGGCGCTATCTTCAGATGACAGCAGTGGCACACAGTTCACTCTGTGAACATTTCTTGCCACCAGCACAACGGCAAGGGCCCTCGCCCCAGAGGCCAGGGACCACGCACAGGACCCAGGTGAGCCACGCGCTTGGCCAAATCATCTCAGCCCACTGTCAGACACCTACACAGAACAGACACGCTGCATCTCAACTACTATTGTGGCCAAACAAAGCAGCAAATCACATCCCATTTTGGCAGACATGTTGCTCTGATTCTTGGGTAAATCAAAATAATGTGTGTGTTAAGATACAACAAAGCTGAGTATGTACAAGAAACTACCACTCTCAGCCCCAGGGCAGAGGCCAGGACCAGTCCTCAAGACTGGTTGTAGGGGCTGGAGCAGATGGGCGGGCACTAAAACCAGGGCATGCACTTCCCACTTGCA